CCGCCGCAAGCCACGTGGGCAGCGGTGCCGCGGCCGCTGCGGTCGACTCGGCGTACGCGATGAGCGGGAGGCCGACGGCGTACATGGCGGCGTACGTCGCGACGACCTGCGCCACGTCGCGGAAGAGGTACAGCAGGCTGCGGCAGAGGCTGCGCTCGAAGTACTTGGCGGGGACATGTTGCTGGATGTCGCGAATCGTCGTGGACGCTGGCAGCACGACAACGTCGTACTCCTTGTTGCGCCCCGCCTTGAGCAGCAGCTTCGTCACGTCGTGCGGCGGCGCGGCGGCGGTTGGAGCATCCGCTGCGGCCGACATCCGGTCAGTGCGTGTGTGGCAGAGTGAAACGGTGATCTCCTGGTGTGCGTGCGTGCAGAGGGAAGGAAGGAAAGAAAAAGAGAGAGAGAGCGGAGGGAGAATGAGAGAAGTGGAGTCGGAAGGCGTACGGATGCGCGCAGAGACTGGCGCGCGTAGCCCACCCAAGGGGCGTTCCACGCCTCACAGACACACACACACGCGCAGAGAGAGAGAGAGAGAGGGAAAGATATATGCAAGCAGGCACAGAACGCACGGATACACAGACACATAATGCGGAGCCTTGTCTTTCCCCTCCGCTGTGCGACGCCATGATGAATGCGGGGCGCCGTCGCTCTGCAGAGACTCGAATTCATGCAAATTATTCACTGGGCCTCGGGCCCATATGCTTCAGCTGTTGTTGCTGTCCCTCCCCGCCCGCACCTTCGCGTCACGTATATGCATACATATGTATATATATACACGCACACACACACACAGAGAGAGAGAGAGAGAGAGAGAAAGAGACACACAAATAATATATAAATATGCATGTGTGTGTGTGTGTGTATGTGTATGTGTGTGCGCCCGCTGCCCGTCAGGCCCCGTCGCGGCCGCACGAGAGCCATCTACGAAGAGGCCTCTGCCATCCATTACAGCAGGCGANAGAGAGAGAGAGAGAGAGAAAGAGACACACAAATAATATATAAATATGCATGTGTGTGTGTGTGTGTATGTGTATGTGTGTGCGCCCGCTGCCCGTCAGGCCCCGTCGCGGCCGCACGAGAGCCATCTACGAAGAGGCCTCTGCCATCCATTACAGCAGGCGAACTGCGCCCCCCTTCCCCTCCCCCTGCTTCCTTTTCCGCCCCGCTGTTTCTCCTGGCGCGCGAAACCCTCCCACGGGGGGTGGGGGGCCCACCGCCACAGCAGCAGCAGCAGCAGAATTCACCAGAATCGGTGGTTCATATTTTTAGTAATTTCCCCTAAGCGCTTGTCAATGACGTCCGCGACGGCCTCCTCGCTAAACTTCTCCTCAATGAGCTGCCGGCCGCGCTGCCCAACGGCGCGCGCGTGTTCGCGGTGCTGGACGACGTATCGCATCAGCTCCGCGGTGCCATTAACGCTCGGCATCGCCCACTTGTTGCCGGGCCACGCGGCGTAATGCATCCCCCGCGGCACCTCCTCAAGGCCATCGACGGGGATGGCGAACGTCGCGTTGGGCTCCATGAAGGCGGTGGTGCCGCCCCAATTCGTCGTGAGCACCGGCACGCCCATCGCCATCGCCTCCGTCGCCGGCAGGCCCCAGCCCTCGCCACGCGTCGGCAGCACAAAGGCGTCGGCGCTGCAGTACATGCGCCGCAGCTCCTCCTCGCTCACGTACTTACCGCCACTCATCACGACGAGGTGCGGGAAATCCTGCATCGATGTGAAGCCCGGCAGCCGCGCGGCCCACTTGGCCAAGTAGCTGCCGATGTTCTCGTCGTTAATGCCGTCGGCGTACTTGGGCAGCCACTTCACCTTCATGTAGAGCGAGACCTCGTTGTGCAGCGGCGACGACGGCCCAAAGGCCCGCCAGTAGGCCTCGAGCAGCACATCCCAGCCCTTGCGCCACTCCCACTTCATGACGGCGAGGAAGCGGAAGCGCCGCCGCGCCTCGCCCGGCGTGGCCTGCGGCATATTCGTGTAGGCGTGGGCGAGCAGCGTGGACGGCAGCTCCTGAGTGCACAACCGCGGGTTGTACAAGTGTACATTGAGGGCCTCCGGCACGACGTGGATCTTGCTCGCCTCAACGCCAGCGCTGCGGTAGACGCTCTTGAAGAAGTCGCCGGTGGCCCACACCTCGTCGGCGTAGCGGCGCATGCCATCGATCCAGTTCTCCGGCACGCGCGACGACTCGCTAAGGCTCCTGCCGATGAAGTAGTCGGCCTTGTGCCTTAAATCCCGATGGATCTTCTCGTACTTGTTGCCGCGCGTGTGCATGAATACAACCTTGCGTCGTTTCGTATACGCCTCCCGCCACACCGACGTGGCGCGCGCAGACTTGAAGAGCACCTCCACCTGCGACTCATCGGTGAGCTGCAGCACCGCCAGCTCCGCCCCCTTCGCGTCGCTGCAGAAGCCGCTCTTGGCACTGCTGAGCAGCGCCACCGCGTAGCGCTCGGTGAGTGGACGCAGGTACCCCACCGCCTCACGCATGAGGCCACAGCACGCACAGGGGTAGTCGCGTGCGTAGAGGAGCAGCGGGGAAAGTGGGGCGTTTGCCACCGACCCCAGCCGCTGCGTCGCGCGGTCACGGTGGCTAACGGCAAAGCGGCGGTTGTGGAGCCGCTGCAACGCGTCGAACCACCGCTCCCCCCAGCTATCCGCCGCAGAAAGCACCGCCTGCCGCAGCACCTGCAACTGCCGCGGTGTCGCCGTTGCCACTGCTGCTCCCGTGGCTGGTGCCGATGATGCCGTCGGCAACGCACCGCCGGTGTTGATGAGGCCAAGCGCGGTGCTGCTCCACACCTGCCACAGCGGGTGCGCCTGCTGC